CACGTCTTCGTCCATCCACGCCGTTTCTTGAACGGCGTAGACGTGACCCGTAGGATAGGTAGACAACTCGTCAGTTTCAATTTGGCCACCGACCACCCCAAGTACAATGAAGAGGATCGGCAGTTTCGTTCCTACATAACTATTATATCAAGTTTACAATATTTATCACAAACCATCAACTCATACGGCCAACACCGCCGTCATACGGTCGGAATGTTGTTTTCCGAGGAGTCAATTTTAGCGTCGGCGCCAATCTCACACCAAAGACGGCATGGTGGCATGTCGTAATACCCTGCCGTCTCGTCCGCATTAAAAATGATGTCGCGCATGGGACGTTGCTGTGCTTGGACCAAAATGTTGAGGCAAATATTTCCTTCTTCTCAGACAGCTCGGTTTGCTTTAATTTGGAGAAGCAAGGACTCGCTGAGTAAATCGATGACGGTGAGCAAAGCGTTGGCACAAACCGAGGAGTCCAGCGTAACCAGTGCCTGCTGACGCCTTCTCGCCGAAATACTGGTCGACCCAGGCTGGTTGTGGGCTGCGAATGTCGGATACCAACATGTCTTATGCCTTGCCCAAGTTGTGAAAACCAGGGGATTTGTTCAAAACCAGATCCTGACAGCTGTGAATGATATCTGCTGCCCAAGGAAGCCTCAGCAGCCACGCTGGGGCTTTCCAAGAGCCTGATTCATGTCTTGCGGATTGTCGTTTCGTGACGATAAGACAGCCCACGCGGTCAGCGTATGGGATATGTGGTAGATGACTTGCTTTCCAGTGTGTCAAGCGTGCCAGACTTGAAGAACACAGGATGTAATCGAGTCTGTTGATGAGTTTCGGACTTGGAAACGCTCGGCCCAATAGATTTTGACATCGATACAGATCCACCAGAGATTTTGACATCGATACAGATCCACCAGAGATAACTGTGCGTCCACGTGGACATCTCGTGCGCCCCATACATCGAGGCAGCTAGGGACTTGGCAGAGTTCAAGTCCTTGTTCAGGGTACAATGAAGTCGCCACCCACGACGTGTAAATAATGTGGGGAAGTCACGCGGCAGCGCATCGAAGAATCTTCCTCGCTCGGACCATATAGCCGGAGCATACACGTTGTCTAGAACCAATGTCAACGGCCCCAGGACACATCGGACTTGTTGGTATCGACCACGACGAAGAGGATCGTTGTGATGGACTATTTCCGCGTTCTTCAAGGGTGAGTGAGGGTGAATAAACGTCGCAGACCTCCAGTAGCCGGAGTTCATGGAGTGTCGGGATACAACGGGTCTTCAAAGAACAACGCACCCTCCTGGTTGGTGATGCGCTGCCAATGGTAGGCCACCTTGTCGTGCTGACTGGGCGTGCGGAAAGCCAGTTCTTGAATAAACGTTGAATAAACGTGACGTCGCGCGTGCACGAGAGGTTGCAAAGGATATAACGATACTGTTGATGAAGCCATTGGTGTTGACGGAGAGGATTTGTGGGTCCCAATCCACGAGTTGAGCGGGAAAGTTCGGTGCTTTGTCTTGAGTCGTTGGTGTTTATTAACAAATAAATATAGTGGGGTCCTGAAGTGTGGCGTTGGTGAGTGAATCGATCTTCCACCAATTTGCAGGTCGTCCTCGAGGTCAAGGAGCTCACTGTAGTTGGCTGCATGGATGGAATGTGTCGCGTCGTCACAAATGGACTCGACTTCGAAGTTGTCGATGATGTGATGATGATCGTGTTACGTAGTTTATACAGACAAAACTAGCCGGGAATGCAGGAGGTCCTTAGCCTGGGTCGAGCGTGAGGTCCAAATCAATGTAGTCATAAAGGGTGGGGATGTGAGTTGGCGCGAGAGGCTTCACGTCCGGTCGGGTTCCAAAGTCGCATGCGGAATCCGGCGCCAGTTTGGAGAGGAAGTCGGCTGCCTGGTTTTTGTCTCGCGTGCGGTGATGGAACTCACAGTGGAACTGGGAAGACAGTTCGCGGGCCTGCATGTACTGTTTGCGGAGGCCTGGGTGTCGGATGCGGTTCAGGCCGCGC